AGCAACGGTTATGTGCCTGCTGCTACTGTCACTGCTACTGGTGAGTACTGATGGAGAGAGAGGGAGAGAGAGAGAGGGAGGGGTGGGGAGGAGAGGAGGCTGAGTACTGGGAGCAACGGTTATGTGCCTGCTGCTACTGTCACTGCTACTGGTGAGTACTGATGGAGAGAGAGGGAGAGAGAGAGAGGGAGGGGTGGGGAGGAGAGGAGGCTGAGTACTGGGAGCAACGGTTATGTGCCTGCTGCTACTGTCACTGCTACTGGTGAGTAGGCCTACTGATGGAGAGAGACGGGGGTGAGAGAGGGAGGGGAGGGGGGGAGAGGAGGCTGAGTACAGGGAGCAACGGTTATGTGCCAGCTGCTAATGCTATTGTCACTGCTACTGGTGAGTACTGATGGAGAGAGAGAGGAGAAAGAGAGAGAGATGGAGGAGAGAGAGAGGGGGGGCGATAGAGAGGGAGAGAGGAGGCTGAGTACTGGGAGCAACGGTTATGTGCGTGCTGCTACTGTGACTGCTATTGGTGAGTACTAATGGAGAGAGACGGAGGTGGGAGAGAGAGAGAGAGAGAGTATTTGCTGAACACAGGGAGCAATAGTTTTGTGCCTGCTACTGCTACTGGTGAGTACTGAGAGATAGATCTCTCATTCTGATCTTTCACAAACTTCTATTTGGAGCACTTCTTTATATTGTTTTCCTCTCATCTTCTCATCTGTAGATGGTTGGCAGGTGCCCTGGTGAGGTTTGCTCTTTCACTTTCCTATCAAACATTTATCGCTCATATCTCCCCTCCTTTGTTACTCTCTTGTTAGTGCGCTCGTCTCCGAAGCGGAAAGTCTGGGTTCGAGCCTCGGTTTGGACACAGATTTTTCCGTCCCCTTCTGCCCACCCAGCAGTAATGGGTAGGCCTACCTGACTTCGAGTTGGGGAAGTAAAGGCAGCGTGGAAAGGAACTGGCCACCCTACCACAATATGCCGAAGGCCCAGGAAGTTCTCTCACTAGCAAGACAATCCCAATGTCTGGATTGGATGCGGGAACAACTTTACTCTCTTGTAACACTTCTAATCTAGGGGCTCCAGTGGCTAAGTGAGTAGTGAGTTTAGACTCAAGTAATATCAAGCAAGTGTCGGTGACACGAGGATCAGATGGGTGGTCACTAGGGTGTGTCCTTGAGCAAGACACGACAACCCTAGCTCAAAATACAGGGCGCTGCACAGTGGCGACCGACAGTGGCATGGTTGTAAACAGTTCTGTATTTGTGTAATATTGTATATTTTTATATGTATTTATGCATGTATTTATATTATATATGTACTTATTTATAATTATGTATTCATGTATGTAAATGTAAGTTTGCCATTGTAAACCAAAGTGCCCTTCTGAGACAAATTAAAGTGTTGTTTTTGTTTTAGTAGAGGTTTTACGGCGCTCGCAACTGCATAAGGTCATATGAGCGCCAAATTAAATATAATTTTTTTTATTTAATCTATTATTCCTCGGCATTTATATTATAAGTATGTAAGCCCCTTCTTACACTCCGCTATCTTCCCACCTTCAGGCAAACCCATCGATGTGACCACACACAAGGATTCCTTCGAGAAGTTTGCAGGTGACCTTGACAAGCTGTTCCCGGAGCGACTGACCCAGCGAGGTCAGCGATTGGCCAGTCAGCACCAGGGCTTCGGCAACAGCGGGGGGACGACCCCTGAGGCAGATTTTGACGCCACCAAGAGCAAGTTGGAGAAGGAGGATATAGCAGCGGGGATAGGGGAGGATTATACTGACACTGCGCAGTTACTGGGTGAGTGTGTGGGGGAGTGAGTAGGTGAGTGTGTGGAGGAGTGTGTGTGTGAATGGGTGAGTGTGTGGGGGTTTGTGAGGGAGTTTGTGTGGGGCGGTGAGTGTGTGGGAGTGTGTGTGTGGGGGTGAGTGTGTGTGGGAGTG